GTCCCTGTGGCTTTGAAGTAGCCTTGGACACCGTGGCCTCCATTGACATTGAGTGCAGATCGTTTTCCTAGCAACAAAGGTAATAACATTAATACAACTTTTTTTGCAAATACAGAAATGTTTTATTGCTTGCCATTGCGAAAAAAGAATGGCAGTTTTACACATTAGGCCTCTTCTCTCTAGCGCCAATATTTGCGATACTGCATGTTAAAGCACTTTCTGATATACAACATTTTTTCTTTTGTTATCCGGCGCAAGAACAAAGTGGTAGGTTTCTTTTATATGCGTAATTTTGTCAACAGATGGCTAATCATGCTATTTGCATTCGTAAAATTAATTAATTTGTTTATTTTTATTCGATAACTTATCCGATATTTTATTACTTATTCTGCTATTCGGAGCGGAGAAGAATCCACCAAAAAAAAGATAATTAACATCGGTCCAGCCGATCTTGAGTTATAAGTGATGTCTAAAACGACTTTGTTTTATATATTTGGATAAAAAAGCCCTCCGCCGCGTCTGCCCGACTGTCGGTTCGAGATATTTAAAAACGACTACACTGAATTTATTACGGTTTTCACTATCTAGAATGATTTATGAGGAAGGAAGGGGATATAATTTTTCAAGATTTTCGGACTACGGTAGTGTAAGTGTACGTAGCCGTCTGCTGCTATAATCATTATAATATAAACTTTCAAAAACCTGTCGAATGGTCCATCTTCTGGTATTCTAATACTCTATCATCTTTCTAAACTTTACTTCTCGCCTGGTACCTACTTTTTTCTATCTTTTACTTCGTTTTCGAACGAAGTCAGGCAATAGCTGGTTATAAGAAATAATAATAGAATACAATTTGGCTTACGTCCAGAAAAACTGAATAGCAAAAGTGATTGTCGTATAATTTTGGCACAATTGTGCGTTTGGTGACTACTCATGTATCATAGTCTTCAATTATCAATGTTCTTAATTTTATTTAAAAATATTTTTAATTCATCTAAGTAAAGATCCATCCATGGACGTTGATGGTAATGAAATAAGGCAAAATGGGTACGGATTTTTATGTTATTTATATTGTTTGTAAAATATTGAATTCTGAAAATGATTGAGGAAAACCTTCCAAACCAAGTGCGGCGTCCCACAAGGTTCGCTTCTTGGAACATAGGTTACGATAGAGTGCTGCGAGCGAAACTAGTCCCTGGAGTGTCAACTATATGCTATGCAGACGACACCCTCGTGGTCGCTATTGGAGAAGATTTTAAGGAAGCGCGCTTTCGAGCGACAGCTGGAGTAGCTAGGGTGGCTTCTGAAATCAAGAAGCTCGGACTCGTTGTCGCCCTTCAGAAATCAGAAACTATATGCTTCTACGGCCACAGAAGAGCACCACCTCAAGACGCAGACATCATCGTCGGCGGAGTAGCTATCCGGGTCGGTACTACGCTCAAATACCTTGGGCTGGTTCTCGACTCGCGGTGGACTTTCAGACCATACTTCGCGGCACTTGCCCCTAAACTCACCGCTACCGCAAATATGCTCTCGCGCATAATGCCAAACCTCGGTGGGCCGAGTGGGGTTTGTCGCCACTTATACGCCAATGCGATCCGGGCGAAAGCATTGTCCCATATGAGCCGACAAACTTACCGGGTTTTGTTTGTTCCGATGACTAAAGCAAAAAATGAAATGTATTTCTGTCCATAGATTACTCGGATTATGTTTCTGCAGCAATGGTACTACAATAAACCATCATTGTAATGTGTGTGTCAGCTACGACGCACGATTGGAGTTTACTCCTTACGAACGATAATTATGATATATTTATATCGAATAGAAAAAAAGGGTAAATGAACGCATCTGCTAAAATGATAAGAGAAACAAACATATATCTGTAATTATTCGGATTATTTATATTACTTCAATAAAGCGTATTACATAAAGTATGTTACAAAACAATATAAATAATAATAATAATAATCTATTATTTAAAATAAATCTTGATTTCTATACAAAACGGCACGAACGACTTCCATACTTTATAAGCTGTGGTGTTTCCCAGGCTTATAGTTTCGGCTTGTGTCAAATGCACTGCAGAACAAAGATGGCGATAATGTTCTGTGGCTGTCGACCATATTTTCATACTAAAGGTGGTAAGAATATATGTTTTTATAATATAAATGTTTGTAGTAGTAATAAAACGTACCTACATCATCTATGCCCAAATAGGATTTTCTTTCTGTGACCAAAGTTACCTTTATAGTAAGAGAAGAATAAGAATGAACAATCTTTTTAGTTTTAATTTCACTGACCATTACTATTGACAAAACTCTATGGCACGCTAGACAATCTACTTTTATTTTATACACCTGTCAACACTGACAATGTTGTAACGTGGCTGTCAAAACGTGAATTCAAAATAGAAAAGTCTGTGTAATGTATTCCATCTCATTCTTTTACACGTTCAATCGTACAGATATATATGTTTGTCTCTTTCTACATAACGCCTCAACTTTTCGTGTTACACTTGATTTTACTCCTCATAAAATTTCCGTACCGGGCCTTATAACTCAAATCGTTTCTTAAGGCGTAAACTCCAAAAATAACTTTTGAATTTAGAAAAATAATCACTAATTTATAAAATATACGTGAAAGCAGCATTCTATGCAATCTTAAAAGTATAGAATGCAATCTTAAAAGTAAATATGTCAATAGACTGAGAAGAAAATGAATATTTATTCAAGCGAAGAAGAAAAACGAGTTTTGCTTTAATTTTCGCAAAAATACGCACTATCAGCGGTCACGGTTGGATCGTAGATTTGATCAAAAATTAATGTGGTCAACCATTTTATGAATTTATTGTATTTCATTAAATTACTACCAATAAATTTGCGGCAACTTCACAATTGATCGCATCTTTTAACTGTCATTTTCGAGTGGAAAAATATCCAAATCTATAACATTTACAATGGGATTATGATAACTAAAGTAAGATGCGAAATGTTTTTCAATATTTCTTGCAAACACTGCATCAATGGTAGTTCCCCTTTTGGTGCTAATGTTTAATGCAACAGTGCTTTCATACCCCCTCCATAGTAGTGTTAAACGTTTAACGCAGCCTTGTTGGAGGTCGCATTAGAAGTTTCACTTCAATAATATGTGAGTACGTTGCTTGTGTGTTTTATGGAGTTACAGCACACGGATTTACAACTGGTTGTGACTTTGGAGATAACAATTTTAATTTGTGATTATTATATTACAATTACAATATATAAAAACTAAACTTAACGTAAAAAATAGAACATGGCCGACCATAGGAAATGTAACGCCTGTCTAAAAAGTGTAGCAAACACTCCATCATTAAATTGCTCACGCTGTAAGGCTGAATATCATCATTTTTGCATAAACTATTCACTGCCAGAGTATAATGCGATGTCTGTTGAGCTTAAATCGAAATGGATCTGCTTGCAGTGTCAAAGTCGCGAACGCAAGGGAGGCGATAATTCAAACACCCCTGTCCGTAGTAATAATAGCGTTGCCCTTGAATCACCTCACCTGGAGTTCGTCACACAGCGCACGAAGGCTCGCACTGAAAAAAATTGCTCTTGCATATCGCCCAGCAGTATACGGGATATCATTCGAGAAGAATTTGAATTATTATTTACGCACAAAATTCACCCTGAAATGTTAGAGGTTCGAAACGCCGTATCTTCCCTCGAGGCGTCGATGACTTACTTTAACGCAGAGCTCGAGAAAGTGAAGGCCGATCAAGCAGAGCAAACTAAGATAATCGGAGTACTAAAATCAGAGACCGAGTCACTAAGAGCTACCAATATATCTTTATCTTCTCGCCTGGCACAAATGGATCAGCATGTGCGTTCTTCAAACGTGGAAATTCAATGTGTCCCTGAAAATAAACAGGAAAATTTAATAAACACTGTAATGCAGCTAGGAAAAGTGATCAAGTGCCCTATTAGCGAGACGCAAATTCACTACTGCTCCCGACTAGCTAAGATTAACAACTCTAGTCCTCGCCCCCGTTCAATACTCGTAAAATTTAATAGCCCACGTCTTCGTGACGAGTTTCTAGCAGCAACTAGTAAATTTAACAAAATCAATCGTGAAGACAAGTTGAATACCAGTCATTTGGGTATCGGTGCTAATAAGAAGGCTGCTATTTATGTAGCAGAACACCTTACCCATGAGAACAAGCGCTTGCACGCAGCTGCCCGTTCTAAAGCCAAAGAACTTGGATATAAATTCGTTTGGGTACGAGACGCGAGGATATACATGCGGAAGGATGAGCAGTCAAGTTATATCTACGTTAAAGACATTGATTTAGTAAATAAGTTGTCATAATGCCGCTAAATTTGACATTGTTTTTTACTAAGGGCATCTTAAACTGTTTTTATCAAAATGTTAGAGGACTAAAAACCAAAACTATTGAACTGTTTAGTAATGTTTTGTGCTGTAATTTTGATGTAATAGTTTTTACAGAGACGTGGTTAAACAGCAGTGTATCGGATAATGAATTATTTGACGATCGTTATGTAGTGTATAGGCGCGATCGGGAAAGCAGTGGTTTTCACAGCAATAAACTAGGGGGTGGGGTATTGATAGCTGTTTCCAAGCGCTTACAGTCATACCGTATTTGTGCCCACGAATCAGACTGTGAGGATATCTGGGTTAAACTGGAACTAGTTAACAGTAAGGGTGAAATCGATCTTTTGTACATATGTGCTGCGTATATTCCCCCTCCTGTACAAAAGCATATTTTAAAGCACTTTATTCATAACGCCAATTGTATTATTGAAAATCTCAGCTCTAACATCATCGTTCTTGGTGATTTTAACATGAGTAGCCTACGTTGGAACGGGACACTTAATTCCACGTTAATACCAATAACGACAAATAGTATGTTAAATAACATGGTTATAGACTTTATGTCGTTAAATAATCTTTCACAATTTAATAATTGCCTTAACAGCAAAAACCGAATTCTAGATCTAATAATGAGCTCTATGGTAATCTCTCATGTAAGTGAGAGCAAAGATCCTCTTTCAAGTGTTGACCCTCTGCATCCTCCGATTGAATTTTGTATTGATATTGTTCATAAAGAAAAACTCAATTCCCATGAAGAAGCCAGGTTTCGATTCCATAAAGCAGATTATGAAAAGATTACAAGTGATCTAAATAATATTCCTTGGCACAGTGACCTTTCCTATTGTGCTAGCGTTGACGATATGGTAGCACAGTTCTATAAAATTCTTAGAGTTATAATTTCTAAACATGTTCCAAAATCCAAACCACGTTCTAGTAAATATCCAATATGGTTCTCCGCGGCACTGGTGAAGGTAATCAACGAAAAATTCAAATATCGCACCAAATATCGCAAATACGGAAATCCTCGAGATTTAATTACTTTTGAAATGCTACGGGATAGATGTACAAAACTCCATAACTTAAGCTATAGATTATATTTAAAACGCTTAGAGACTTCATTATCTACGTATCCAAAACTTATATGGAGCTTTATCAAGCAAAAAAGAGGAAGGATAAGCTCTTACCCTGCCCGGATGTCTTTAGGTGATGAAGTAGCTTCGTCGGGGTCAGACATTTGCAATCTTTTCGCATCACATTTTTCGTCGGTATACAACTCGGACAACATATCGATCAGTGGCCAGTCTAGTTCGTCAACCAATTGTTTAACTTCAATATCGGTAACTACTGATCAAGTTTTCAGAGTTTTAAAAAGACTGGACCCTTCGAAAGGTGCTGGTTCCGATGGAATACCTTCTATTTTTTGCGATAAAATGTGCTAGTGAACTAGCACTACCACTCAGCATTATTATTAATAGCTCTCTTAACTCTGGAATATTCCCAACGGTTTGGAAAAGTGCTCTTGTAATACCATTGTTCAAAAGTGGTGACACGAGTGCGGTATTAAATTATAGACCTATATCTATACTTCCAACTTTCGCGAAGGTTTTTGAATCTATTTTGTGCCCAATAATATCGAGTCACTTCAAACATTTTATCGCACCTGAACAGCATGGATTCGCTAAGTCACGTTCCACGTCGACTAATTTGGTTTCCTTCGTGGAGGATCTTGCTGAGGGGGTTGATCGTGGGCAATCATATGATGCAATATACACCGATTTCAGCAGGGCCTTCGACAGGGTGAGCCATGTTATGTTGATACACAAACTCTCCTCTATTGGAATTGATGGCATATTTTTAAATTGGTGCAGATCATACCTGTCAAATAGGCAGTCAGTAGTTGTAGTTGGTGGGTACAAATCCAAAGAATTCACTGCCATATCTGGAGTGCGTCAAGGGTCACACTTAGGTCCATTATTCTTTAATATTTTCATTAACGACATCGGAAGCTGCGTTCAAGGGTCTAAATTCTTGATGTTCGCTGATGATTTAAAATTATATAGAACTGTGAACTCACCCGAGGAAGCAATGTCACTGCAAAATGATCTGGACAATTTGATAATGTGGTGTAGTTTAAACGGAATGAATTTGAATCCTGAAAAATGTCATGTTGTTCGATTCAGCAGGAAAAAACGCTCGCCAACCAGAGTCTATCATATTAATCAGGCATTTCTTAAGGATGTCAGCCATACTCGGGATTTAGGTGTGATTCTGGATGGTAAATTGCGTTTTAACTTGCATGTTGATGATATTACAAATAGGGCTTTTAGGATGTTGGGCTTCGTCCTGCGTAATTGTAAGGAATTTAGGAATCCCAGCACTAATGTTACAATTTACACATGTCTCGTACGTAGTATTCTCGAATATTGCAGTCCTGTGTGGAATCCGCATTACGGTATCTATATCAAGCGCTTGGAGAATGTACAGAAGCGATTTTTATGGCACCTATCCTATGGTTGCAACATGGCTAGGAAACTTCCTAGTTATAACGATCGTCTATTACATTTTCACCTTAAATCACTTCGTCATCGTAGAGAGCTGCTTGATATCATGTTTCTGTATAAACTTATAAATGGAATTTTGGATACCCCTGATATCTTGTCCAGAGTAAACATTTCTGTTCCTAAAAAGCTGCAACGATTTGCAAAGCCTCCTTTCAGAATTAAGTTTGCAAAATCAAATCTGGGTCAGAATGCTCCATTAAATAGATCTTTAAGGAGTTATAATTTAATTCATAGCGTTGAAATTGATGGTGGTATTGGATCGCAATGGGGGGGTCGTGAATTCCCCCAAATAGATCTGTTTTCAAACTCCCCATCAATTTTCAAAAAGTTAGCGGCTCAGCTGATTACTCATTAAGACTATGGGGTTATTCAATTAATTCAATTAATTTTGTAATGTTTTTATTTTATTTTATTTTATCTTAACTTTATTTTTTCTTCTTTTAATGTGTTTATAAAACTTTAGAATGTTGTATGCGCCTATAATTGGGGTAGCACTTGGCTTGTGTTTGTGTTTGTGTTACATTGCTTGTATTAGTGTTTACTTTGTTGGTGCATAAATAAATAAATAAAAATAAAAATAATAAAAACTTTAGAGGTGTCAAGGGACACCCGGATGGAACGAAATTCCTTTCGATTAATTTATATGTTAATTGGTATCATAACAGTATGATAGATTTTCTCGACACCAATCTTACGACGAAAAAAAAAGCCAACATCACGAGGTGTTCCCAGGCGGTCACCCATCCGGTCAGTACTGAACTCGCCCGACGTTGGTTAACTTCGGTGATCGGACGAGAACCGGTGTATTCAACGTGGTATGGACGTTAGCGATAGCTAAATCGAAAATGTAAAATATAACAACTTTAGCAAAAAGTGTCGTTACAACTTTTGGTCTTAATTTATTCCGTCTAGCCCCCTTTCGCAACGCTCGATAACTTCGTTCCAACAAGACTAATTTAGTTAAGTGATTCCAAAAATAATTTTCATTTCTTATCCCTACAAAAAAAGCCAACATCACGAGGTGTTCTCAGGCGGTCACCCATCCAAGTACTGACCTCGCCCGACGTTGCTTAACTTCGGTGATCGGACGAGAACCGGTGTATTACAATAGCAAATAGCAAAAAAGTGTCGTGACAACTTTTCGTAAGTATTTTTTTCCGTCTAGCCCCCATTCACAACGCGCGATAAGGAACTTCGTTCCAGTAATATATAATTATAATAAAACTAATAATTAACATAGCAAGGTTGCTAAAACAACTCGGCGAAAGGTCTCTGTGGAGTTGCTGAAAATGTCCAATGAGTCATTTTTCATCACTAACATTAAATGTATTAGTAAATCCAAGACAATTTGTTAATTGTTGAATTGTTGTAAATGTCTTGACGTCTTGTCTTGTTTTTTGACGTTATACATTATAACGTATTTTATATAACGTTAATATTAAACGTTGCCGTTGACAATATGGCCAGTGTTAGCTAATTCATGAAATTATTTTTAAGCACTCTCATTATACATTGTTTTCATAAATTATGATAAGTTGTTTACATAAATCCTAATGTTTATCATAAATTTGGATGAGACGACGCTTTTTGTTAGCAATTTTTCACGGAAATGAACGATGTGGTGTAATGACGTCATTTCCACTTGATGGTTTCGAACGGAAAATTCATTGAATAAGAATTGATTATTTTGTTGAATTTTCTATTTATCTTGTCATTGGATTGGTAGGAAAATATAATAGAAATTTATGCTTTGGAAAAATATATGATTAATTATTCAGTTTATTAGGGTGCCATATAGTATATAAGTTTGATTTGTGCAAATGTGAAAATGCTTGTTTAAACAAATACAATTTGGTACAGTACACCGATATGACTGGATTACAAATAATATTAAGGAATTTAATATCAAACTATTTTCGTATGAGCTTACCTACGCCACTGCTTTATGAGTTACAACTAAGATGGTTAGGTATAATGTATACAAATTATAAATATCCTACTAACACTTACATAATATATAACTAGATATTCTTGGATTTATAATATACGTTACGGTAGGAGCCAAAGCTTTAAACTTATAAAATGTAATTGGCGCATATAAAGGTAAAGTAGAATTTTTAATAAAACTTAATACTACGTATGACGATAGAAGTACGCGCAGTCATGGAAAATAGTAGTCATCGTTTACAGGTGTGCCAATAACGAAATGGAGCACGTTTAGATGAAGTGATTTAAAAAACGATTCCCCTTCTAGTTAGATAACTAAAGAATAAAAAAAATCACATAGTTTTATTATATTTTTTTTCTATTCAATGGACTTATGGGACTTATCCTAAAAAACATTACAATGTGTTATATGTATGTGCATTGTAACAGAAAAGTCGTCATATAAGTCATGTTTTAGAAATTCGATTTAAAATTATTAAATTGACGTACTTTCGTGATGCGGGATCTAATTTACGAATATGATTGATAGGAATATAAAGAAATGGAAATACTTTTTAAATAGACAAACTATCTTTAAAAGGATTTATATTGGTTTAGAACAAGAAGTAGTTACACCGACTCCCACATCATTTCTGACGTATAAAATCTGTATGACGTTTTAATAATAATAATTTATTTGTTGCAAGAATATGGTACAAAAATGTGGAAAGGTGGTACAATCGTAAGCTCGCAGCAAATTTGTGTTGTGTTTAAAGGAATTTTACATTATAAGTAATATATGATTTGGTCTATTCTTATATTATTTGTATCGTACGTATCTTATCATACTTTATTAAATGTTTATCAACTACAGTGTCTATAATAATTCATTGAATAGTACATTTTTCCCAAAAGTAATACACCAAGTCGCTTTTTAAAGACTCTAGTCGGAAGATATAATGTATATGACGACTCATTGGTCTAGTGGTTAGTACCCCTGACTGCGAATCCATGGGTCCCGGGTTCGATCCCCGGCTGGGACCATCATCAATGTGATGAGCATTTGGTGTTGTGCTTAGGTCTTGGGGGTTTAAATATGTATTTATATGTCTATCTATCTATAATATGTATGTATATCCGTTGCCTAGTACCCATAACACAAGCTTCACCAGCTTAGCATGGGACTAGGTCAATTGGTGTGAATTGTCTTTAAAAAAAAAGATATAATAATGCACACTATACTAGTTTTCGCTAGATCAAATATCAACGAAATATTTTGTCAAAATGCTCAATATCTTAACGGTCGATTCAATATTATAGCACTTCCCGGCATCTACGCAAGTATAAATTTGAAAATGGAAGGTCCAATTAATTAAATTCGATAACGTCAATATCTTTCGATTTAATAACGTAAGTAACAAAAATTAATTAAGCTTATGTAAAGCGCAAGCAATTTAGATAATGTCAACTTCTGATAAATTAGTCGGGAAGGTTCAAACGTTTATTGGGAGACATTTTTGTAATTGTTATTTTCTACTTGATTTTGTCTGTCTAGAACAAGAAGCTTATTAGCCGTCATACTCACTTAATGGTCATTGCTTGTAGTGGTGTCCATGTATCTCTCTCCTTACAATATGGCGAGGGGCCGATGGCCATGCGTTGTACTCCTGAACGGGAGATTTTTTTGGCGACTAGTCGGACTTGGATCGGTATACGGCTATGTCTTAATTATTTTCTGCCTTGATTGATCTTGCAATACGTGTTTCCACAGTAATGCTCCTACTTCGCTGTACCTAGCTAATAGAGGTGAAACGTTCGGTTTTCTTATCTATTTAATTTCTATCTATAATATCTATTAAATGTGATGGTGTAACGCTTACAAATATTTTGAATTGAACCTTGGAGATTTAGAAGAGTGAGAGAGTTTATGGCAAATAATGGCTTGATTTGAGAATAGACAATAAATGTTAGGACCACTAATTTTTACAATTCTTAAAGTTTCCATTACCTACATGAATAAATTAATTTTGATAATTTTTTATTAATTAGAAAAGGTTTATTTATTTAAAACTTTCTCCGTATTATTTCAACGACTACATCTAGGTGTTTATGTTTTTTTTGAAAAACCCGAAAGAAGTTTATAATTCCATATATACTTTTTTATGTATGTTGAATCACCTTCGTCCTTGAGTCGATCTAGATTGTCGAGGTGTCAAATCATTGGGATTAGCAAGGCATTGATTCCATTGAAAGGGTTTTGAATATTATTATCTGTTTCATGATCATTTTTCGATCTAATAGGCAAGTAGGTGATCAGCCTCCAGTGCCTGACACACGCCGTCGACTTTTTAGTTCTAAGACATGTCGGTTTCCCCACTATGTTTTCCTTCACCGTTCGAGCGAATGTTAAATGCGCACATAGAAAGAAAGTCCATTGGTGCACAGCCGGGGATCAAACCTACGACCTCAGGGTTGAGTATCGTACGCTGAAGCCACTAAAATTCAGTCCGCCACGTCGTGGTTATTTTTTATAATCAGAATCCTTTATTTTTAAGCGTTTTTAATCTTTTGTGTTAAGACATTAAACCTTGAAATTCGAAGCGATAAAAATAATAAAATATAAAGGAATATACCTCGATTACTGTATAAATAAACAGTACATAATAACGTATATATTATTTTAATATGAAGTGTATAAACCGAATAATTTAAAGTCTTCACGCGAGTACACAGAATAAAAAGTTATTTACAAGCTTATTTATTAAAAACTTTTCAACGCGAATTAAATAGTCAATCTGTCTCCCAGTCTCTCGCGGACGCGGACTGATTTAAATCATTCGAAATGTTAAGAAAGGTTCATTGTGATAAATTGCCTTTTAAATGTAAAGTAATTTGATAAAATATTGATTGTAGTAGAAAATTCAAAGTATGGTTTTCATTGTCTTGGCTAGATTAAGGCGAAAAACTTATTTAGTGAAGAATTTATTTATAGAAAAGTGGGTAAAACGGGCTCCTGCCCGTTTTGAGTTTGTGTGGCTCATCGAGTGTTAAGTGTTACCACCGCCTATGGACACTCTCAATGCCAGAAGGCTCGCGAGTGCCTTGCCGGGCTTGCTAGAATCGGTACACTCATTTTTTGAAGGAACAAAAGTCGTACATCTAGAAGCGTAATAGACGTACAAAGCTACTACAGGATAGTGTCTAGACATAATATGAAAGTCATAGTAACCACTAAGCCTCGACCTTAGGTCACTTTGGTCATAGTGTAGCAGTTAATTGGTAGGAGCATTAAGCATACGACACTGAGTAAGCGAGCCCGTCTGTGTAAAATTAGTTTTTTTTTTGAGAGAAGAGCTTCGCTCAGAGCCGTCATGTATTAAACCCCATAATTAAAGGGTCGGGTACAGAAGGACCTTTTGCCTATAAATA